TTATTTATATATATATTTTTTTCCCAGTCAATAAGGATTTGAAATGAGTTGTTCAATAAAAGATTAGGCTTTGTATCAAACCAACCCACTTTGAGGTGAATCAAAAATGACGAACTTCAATTTGATTTTGAGTATGTGAAAACTGGAAGGTAGGCTACATCTTTTATGGGTGAATGAACTACTCATCCCATGAAGCATTGCAAATCAGAAATAGAGGTACAAAATGTTCATTATATATATAAAAATCCAATATATTGAATATATATTGTAATATATTGTTTTATTAGTTTTACTTTAGTCTTACTATTGTTATGTCATTCTCAGTGCTTTAATGTGGGGGACAATCTCTGCTAAACTGATTTCCATTTCCTGTGCCGAAGTGACTTGTGTGATTGTAGGATCTCTCTTCAGGGTATTATGGGTAGTGTAGTTTTAAACTAGAAATTCTGTAATTAAAAACAGTGACTACTGAAGCTCATCTCCCTGTAGTCTGTGAAGAAAATGAAAGGATTTTAGCTTGTGGAGTATAGGTGACATTTATACTTTTTAATGCCTTGCTCAGTGGATGAGGGCTGGAGAAAAGTACACTTGAAAGACAAATGCAAAATTCACAAGCCAGATGAAGGCATTTGGCAGATTATGTTCACAATGGATTACCCTTGGAACTTAACCTTTCAAGTCCATAACTGTTATCCTTGAGGGAATTCAGGTTAGGAATAAACACAGAGCCGTATAAGAGTCATTCATTCAGCACCTGACACACTTTGACTTCTGTTCTCTCTCCTCTTATGTTGCGTTGTTGTAGATTCGGCTGTATGCCAGACCTGACGCCATCCAGAGCGGATCGGGGGACTACGCTCTGCACATCACCAAGAGACTCCTACACTTTTACCAGGATTACTTCAAAGTGAAATATTCCCTCCCTAAATTAGGTAAGACGGCGGTGAAATGTCTTTGGCTTTGTCTGGCTTCAGTGATGCTTTTGAAACGGCAATACATGTTCTTCTCGTGGGAAACCGGGTGATTTTTAATTGTTCCATTTGTACTGCCGGCCGGTTCTGTGTGACTTCCTGTTTTGTGCTCGTTTAAAGAGGTGAAGGAGTGTCAGTGGCAACTCAGTTCTTGCGTTTATTGATCCTTTTGAAGCATTTTAGGCCATTTGTGGTTGTGTTTGGTCTTGGGAATTGGAGCACACAGCACGCGTGTGGTGTTAAAGTGTGCGTTTGTCACTGTATTGATGTGTGTGCTATTGTATGTTGTTGTAAGTGTGCGTGTGCTTGTGCTGGACTGCCTCACATCAGACTCTCTCTGTGCCAGTGTTTCGCTCCATGGGTTCCTGTCAGTTCTCTGTATTCATTTGAATACAGTCATCAATCTCTCTGGGCTTCTGTCTGTCTGTCTTTCACTCTCCTCCCCCGCCTGCTCACTTCCTCTGTAAATGTGTGTGTTTGTGCATTTGCATGTAAGTGTGTATTTGAGTGTGCAATGCATGTGATATTTCCTTACTCTCTTAAACGCTCTATGGGAAGCATTTCCCCCATAGAGCCCCCCCCTACACACACAACATTTAAGTCATCTTCTTTCTGAATTTCTTTTATTTTCATTTTCACCTCCTGGTTAATCCAGTTTAAGCCGTCAGCTGTGTTATGGAACATGGCAGTCGATATGCTAAAGTAGTTTGCAGCAGCTGATGACCATCTTAGACCAGCAAGCATGTACCAAAACACAGTGGCCAGCTTAAGCTGGATTTTCCAGCAGGGTTTTTTAAGGACTTTAAATCTATAACTAACTAAATCTGTAATTAAATCTTAAATATTTAGTGGTAGTGAGGAAAATGTAGCACTCTTGGTAATGTTAGTATGTGAAAAAGAAGTGTGCTTGTGCATGTGCACTTGTAGTGTGCTTCAAATCGTAGATAATCCCCTTGTCCAAATACCCACACTTGCGGTCTTGGCCACTTGAGAGCGCGTGCGCGCGACAGGAAGTAAGTGCGCAAGACTGTCCCAGATCTTAAAAACGCCAGAGCGCAGTGCCCTTAACGCACACTAAATCCACACTATCTGTATAGTGTGTAGCCTTGTCCAAATACCCACACTTGCGGTCTTTGCACTTGACCACTTGACTACTTATATGACGTATTTCCGGTACTTGGCCCAAGTGTTCAAGTGAGCATGAAGACCACAAGTGTGTGTCGAACTTTTCATTACCTGATGGGACACACTTGTAGTGTTGTAAAAATGCAAGTGTTTACATAGCTTTATTTTAATTTTAAATACTTTGCATTTTAAAATCAACTTCTAAATGTCTGTTCAGTAGTCCCTATAACATGACAATTTTAATTTGTGGTGCTTCTAATTAAGTGATAAAAAGCAGTTGCAAATGTTGTACAAAATAAATATCTCCTCTACTCATCTTTGCACTAATAAAACGTGTTTTTCTACCAAATTATATGTAATATCTAATTATTATATTAATATTTAACTTGCATTGGAAAGGTTTCCGTGGCCAAGACCGCAAGTGTGGGTATTTGGACAAGGGGTGTATCCCATCTGTATAGTCTGTATCCCATCATGCATCATGTTCTGGAAATAAATCGTGAGACTTTTTGCCGAGATCTCGCGAGAGGTCACGGAAACCTTTCCAATGCAAGTTAAATATTAATATATTAATTAGATATTACATATAATTTGGTAGAAAAACTGTTTTTATGTTTTATTGGTGCAAAGATGAGTAGTGGTGATATTTATTTTGTACAACATTTGCAACTGCTTTTTATCACTTAATTAGAAGCACCACAAATTAAAATTGTCATGTTATAGGGACTACTGAACAGACATTTAGAAGTGGATTTTAAAATGCAAAAAAAGTGCACTTTGTAAAAATGTCATATTAAAAGTGTTACTTTAAAGTATATTTTAAGTCATTGTTTTGATCATCTTTTTTCACGATTTAAAGAAGTACTTATTTACATACATGTTACATCCTAAAGCACATTAAAACACATTAATTATATTAAATATAAAAGTAATTATGATAATTTTAGCTTGCAGTGTGTTTGATATTACATTTAAAGTTAATATATTTTAAATGTGCTAAATTGCAACTTCATCATTACAAATGTGCAATTACAAATATATTTAAATGGCATACAAATTTCAATAGAAATGACATTATAGTATATTTCAGTTTACCATAAATGCTTGTCGGTACATTCGACAATGTAGCTTAAACATATTTCAAGAACAATTAAAATAATTACATATAACTTACATATAAAGATGTAGGCTACATAAGTTGGTAAAAAAAGCTCTACAAAGTTTAGCCAACTGCATTTAATATAAATTTAAATTATAATACAGTTTCATTTAATTCTAAATTGACATATAATTAAGTGTATGAAAACAGTACATTTAGCTTGCAATATATTAAAGGCAAGGCAAGGCAAGGCAAGGAAAGTGATTATAAAAATGATTATACATAAAATACAGTGCAATCAGTTCGGACGTCGCACAGTGCTCATTCAATAAATGCACAGTTAAACAGACGAGCTTTGAGTCTAGATTTAAATGTGGCTAATGTTTTAGCACATCTGGGCCCGTATTCATGAAAAATCTTAGTGCTAAGAGTTGCTCCTAGTAACAAAATTCTAAGAAAATTCTTAGAAATGTGGGTGTTTCCTCTTAAAATGAAAGAAAAGATCCTAGTAAAGAAAAAAGTAATTCAGAAAGCATCTTAACCCTTAAAAGAGGTCTTAAGGTCCAAAATTGTTAGGAGTACGGACGAGGACTTTTAAGAGGCTTAAGAGTTTCTTTAGCAGTGGAGAAAATGGACAAAACATGTAGAGGGAGAAGAAATGTGTTGCACAGTGCATGACAGTGAGTTAATAAGACGCTACACATTAGATCGTGCAGGGATTATGTTTGTGGCCGATCTTATTAGAGACACGCTAACATCTCCGACACTGCGCAGAAATGCCATAGCGCCAGAAATGGAAGTAATCACTACATTAACTGCTGGCGATAAAGGCATGAACAAGTTTCTCCAAGTCTTGACTGGAAACAAAACATCTAATTCTTACAATGTATTTGAGATGATAGTATGCTGATTTAGTTACTGCTTTGACATGACTACTTTGGCACATCCAACTGTTAATTTCATCAATGCATTGGCAGAGGAGTCAATGGGGCTGTTGTCATTTGGCGATAAGGCTAGGTAAACCTGGGTATCATCTGCATATCATCTGTGATAGGCAATTTGGTTCTTTCTCATTATTTGACTTAGTGGGAGCATATACAGGCTAAACAAGAGCGGTGCAAGA